ATGTGTAATGCACACAGACACTACTCCTGAGTACATGCCTGTGAACTGGTACAACCACAGCTTGAGAAGAGTAGAGTCATGCACATATTACTGAGTTGATAAAAATGTATCTCCTACTGGCCATTCCCTCACCTCTCTGTAAAAACATTTATAATCTTTTATTTTCCATCACTGTTTCTTTGATAACTTATTTACATTTAATTGTCACACATCTTTAATAGCACGCTCTAGCCACAGGCAGCCAATCCACCTTCAAACCAGGTGTCATTAGCATGAAATAAAACCAACATTACTTTCACAATTGATAATTCCATATTAATTTGGTACTGAACAAAACATTTTTCACCATTTTCCACTCAAATTCTGGTTTCCCTTTACTCTCAAACTGCATATTTCTGCAACTGAGGCTGACCAGGATGCAAATATCCCACACCATATATTTCACACATGGATTCATATGGTGTATAGTTCTGTCACAAACACATAACTTAAAGTACACCTTATATTAATTACTCATATCCTTTTTGTCCATCCTGATTGCTCAGTCGGTTTGGGTGCCTGCATTCCAATCCACCACCTGTGGTGTGGCTTTGAGTTGTTTAAGGCAGGCACCTGCCATTTGCCCTGGATAGGTATGGATGGCCTGTGGCTAGTGGTAGCACCACCCATAGCAGGTGATATCAGGGAGTGGAACAGGGCAGACTATGCCTGCAGCAGCACATCAACCTTTTGCCAGCACATCTAGACAGGCCTGTAAGACTGGATTATATGGGTCAGGGCTCACATAACAAGAACTGCTTAGCATGAGCTTTCATCCAAGAAATCCATTCACTTAGAAGGTTAAGATTAAATCTTTATAGAAAAATATCAGGTTCATCCAAAGTATTCTGTCCATCTGCAAACAATCTATCTGCTGTACAAGATGCCCTAGGGAACATGTGCATACCCAACCTGTGTGTTCTGTGTGTCAAATTCCAGTCAGCTCATAGTGTTACATTTTCAATTTTTTGTGCTTCAAAAATATGGTAGGAGTATGTTTGTCTCAAAATACCTTTGCCATGATACAATCTGTTGGAATACTGGATCTCTACATGCTGAAATTTTTGGTGACCATGCACCAAACTGAGCCCTTAAAATTGCAGAGAGCATACTCTGAAATTGTTCTTGCAATATCACTGTAGCAGGCACAACATACTCCATGCAAGGCATACTTTCCCATCTAGTCATTGGACACAAACACCCAAATCCTGTGAATGTTGGTGAGTAGGAAGGAGGGGCACAGGCATGATTGGGCAGTGCTACACTGGGTGGGTTGTGCAGAAATATTCAGTTAATATTGTTGCTCCATTTCACATGTAGAGTTCCACTTACACCAAAATGTGCTCATAAATTTCAACACACTGAGAAAATGGCTACATAGAAACACCCAAAGCATGACCTTTGATTCAACACAAATTGGCACGATGACAGTGTGCTTAACCCATAACCAAATCACCTGGCGGGAGCGTGGCAACTGCGAGGCCAGGAGCACTCCTATTTGACGCCCCCCACTTCGATTGTGCTGCAAAAAACCATACTCACATTTGGCTAGCATTGACAGCATCACAGCTGAAGCGAAAATTGCGATGCACGACTTCATGATTAGACTTCAAAAGAATTACGTCAGTTCACAAAGCAGCACCACCCACTCCAAACACCACGCGGGAACAGCCAAGCGACGACGTTGGGGCGGGGACGCTGCCAGATGTGAAGGCGCGCCGGGTGCTCCAGATGCGTGTCCAGATGCGCGAGCGAGACGGTTCAGCGAGAGCTGTAAATATAGAGATGTCTCCAGGGGAGCGGTGACCGTGTTCTTTTCACAAGCCGGCGGCGCGCAAAATGTCTGTGATAGATTGATTTGAAGATTATGTTAATATGAGAACAGTAAGAGATTAAATAACCGACAAGGCATGTCAATGTACTTCAGTTAGGGGAATAGTGATGGATTTTGCAAAGGCCCCGTAGGCTGAAGACTTCGACACGGCAACTGTCATCAAGAACAGGAGCGATAGAAAATCGATAGCGATAAACGGAAGCCGCGCAAATTACCACACATCTCCCTATCGCTATCCAGACTACCCACGTAATTCCCCGTTCCGAAAAGGTGGACTTCCCAGAGCAGGGGTGTCAATTTTTGTGAGTTGTTCGGGGGTGGGGGGTGGGGGGCCGAACCGAAGGCCCGACAACCTACCCCCTCCCCCTTCTCGCCGGATTTAGCTCACTTAATTTTAATTAACGCAATGAACGCTCTTTTATCAATTACGCTTTGCATTGTTAATAAAATTATTTAATTCAAGCTGTACAAAGTCACGCAGGGTCGAATCCAGGCAGTAGGCACTGGGCGCACGCGTCTTTTCTGATCGGCACGTGAAGCCACTTCTTAGAGGCCACCTTAGGGCGCCAATGGCGCTCTTCTATGGCGGCCATGGGAGGCGGCACGCATTTTGGTTGTGGGGTCGGGGTTAGCCATGAAGGATTTAGGTCATCCCCATATTCCAGAGCTTTTCACTTCAGCCTCACAAACCGTTGCTTGTCTTATGGTCCTAGATATGTGAACTTAACTGCGTCGTTTATCCGCTCAGCTGTTCCTATTTGTATCTTGTGGTGAGAGCAACCATGACTTTTTGTTATGAGAGTGGTACGAGACGCCACTACGCCACTACGCCTTTGCGTTATGATCATCTTTAGCCCACGTTTTTTTTTAGTATTGCAGCCAAAAACATCGGTGGGCGAAGCCAACCAATGGAGCAACTAAACACTGGGGGAGCCAGGGCCCTCACAAAAGGAAACAAATCGACACCCGTGTACCTGAGCCTCTCATCGGGTGGCTCTGTGGGCGCCCGCTCTGATCTAAAACATGTGGAGCCCGAAGGACATCATATTCTTAGGGAGACCCACCAAAATTGTCATCCTGCTGATGGGAGCGATCTCTCGTTTTAAATTTTTGCCTGGCAGCGAATGACCGCGCTGCTGGTCAAGACCATAATTTCTAGTTCTTGTTGGGTTTACAAAGCGAATCAAGCGAGTCCGACCGAGTTAACGAAGCTGGCAGAAACCATTGTCGTGGCGACATCCGCATGCCGAGAGGAGTCCAACTCCGTACACCAGACAGCGTGCAAACTCACTCCCGCCCTGGATGGGGCTATGACGCCCCATCCCTCACCGTAGGTGTAGGTGGTAGGTGCGTTTTTTTCACCGTAGGTGGTAGGTGTATTTTGGGACGCCAGGCTTGATCATTTTTCACTGGTTAGCCCACTTATTAGTAAATCCCCCCCCCTACGCACACCCCTACCCCCCTACATATCCACTGTAAAGTCCTCCAACCCCGCTCATTTCCCCCACCCCCACTCCTACCCCCTAGCCCCCCCCCCCTCCCCCCCACACCACGCACTCATAGGCCCTACGCCAGCTACTATGTCCAGGGCTCGTTCTTGGCTTTGAAGAGGATCGGGACAGACCACAGTTCCAGCATGAAGCAGAAGTGCGCGGAGAGCCGGATGCTGATGGCCAGGCACAGGCGAGCACGCTTCAACGCATCCGCTACGCATTGATGACATGGGTACGCGGCGATTAGTTTGAGACACGCTTTTCAGTGCGTGCGGCCACGCTGGCGCTGCACTGCTATTGGACTGGGATGCGCTCTGCAGCGTATTCGTCCTTTATCTGAAGAGATGTTAGGCACGCCCCGAGGGCACACTAAATCGCAGCGGTCGTAGGCGCCTTTTGTTGTAGGTTGCGGAAAGAGTGCGCCACAGACACGAAGCATGCGTGTTATCTCGAGCTGTAGACATTGCTAAGACGCTGGAACTCCCCTGCCCCTCCCCCCCCCCCCTCTCACCTGGGCGTTTGTTTTCTCTCGTGCGACAATGCGAGATCTGAATGTCCAGTGCCTTGTGAAATTTCTCAAAGCCCGACGACTTACTGATTATTCTTATCTCATCGATTGTATCTCTTGCATGTGTTGACAATCAGTGGCGGCTGCAAATGCAAATAGAACTATCAAGTCTTCTTTGTGCCTTTTTGAAGACCATGGGTGCACAGGTGACTGTGGGGTGTCGCTGTTCAACATATACTTATTGTAAGCGAGCCTTGCTCACGCAATCAAATTCTGCGGAGCAAGCTTCCGAATAACTTTAATGTCTCCATAAAAGTAGGGCTAATGCAGTGAGATTAAAAGTGACCTGTTTGTGTGCATATTTAAGAAGGCACCTAGTTGGCACTTCCTGGCTGCGGTCGCGTTTCTGTTAGTCTGTACTTATATAGCGAGTTGTGTGCTTTCGATTCTCTACATTCTTGGTATCCATGCTATCTTTAAAGCTTTGCGCTAGTTCATGATATCCATCACTTAAACTCTGTCGTACGCCTTAAGCCAGATGAAACCCTGGAACCTCAAGGTGGCCTTTGCATGTGGCCTTATTTTACGTCGGCCTTCACCCAACATATCGAACATGGCTTTTCTTTTGCCATCAATCACGATGGCATCGAAGCATACAACACCACGCACACAACAAATGTCATCGTTATCTTCTCTCACACGTGCAAGGGCAACTTTAACAAGGTCCATAAGTGCAGACTGTCGTGCAGCAAGTGCTGCAGCGATCGCCACGAAGGAAATGGAAGTGATCATGCGTTCTCATCAATATCATCACATTAAAAAGCAACCGCTCGCCATTTTCATCACGGCCTATTTCTACGACATACACCATTCGTGCTCCGCATCTCCTCTCCACAACTTAAAAACGGAGGAGTAGTCACCCCTCCCACACAACAAAGAAGACGAGTGGTCACCCATCCCACCCGCGATGTGACGCCAGCCCGTGCCGGGCGTCCGTCCCGGCCGGCCAGCGGAGCCGCGCCAGGCAGGGCCGGCTCTGGCGAGACCGCGCCCCTGCCAGCCCGCTCCGCCGCCCGGCCGCGGGGCGTCACCACCCGCCGACACGTGACCGGCGTCACAGGTCGGATCGGTGGAGCGCGCCGCCCGTCACCGTTCCGACTCAGGGAGCGCAGCCGCGCCCCCGCCGCTGCTGTGGTGCGTCACGCGCTCGAAGGTAGGGCGGGAAGCTGTGCCGTTCCTTGCCTTTTTGTCTTGCCTGTGAACCATTGAGCACGTGAACACCCGGATTCGATGTTTCTTCGAAATGGCTTCGTGATTTGCCTTATGCTGTGTTCGGCACTGCGGGCGGTGCGTTGGGCAAATGGACAGTACCATTGACGATGCTAAAAAGAGGACCGTGAATTGCTGTATACTGGGTTCTGCGCTATAGTATGTATGCAAAATGTGCCCGGTTGACAGCGTAAGCACGCGCCGTGAGCTCTGGTTTGGGCAGGCCTTTTAAGACCGATCTATGCTTGGAAAAGAAGGACTGCCCGTCGGCGGTTACCGCGATGACCACCGCAGTGCCGGAGGGGACTACAATGGCGGCGGTCAGTTTGTGGCGATGGTGCGTCAGGTGCAGTCGGCATTTTTGGAGTGAGCAGGGGCTGCAGTAAGTGCGCGTTGTGTGCTCTTCTTGCGAGAGATTCAGACCTAGATGAACTATTCCCGGTTTTATTATCCAAAGTGACGCGCAAGACCAACATACGTTTGAAATGCTTAAAATGCTGGTGTATTAGCCTGTACGTGAACTCACCTAGGGTAAATTTTCAGGCTCCTAAGATATGACCTTCGGGTCAAGTAAGGTCAAACAAGGTTAAACTTCGGGTTGGTCGCCAAAGTGCCCCCAGAATCTAGAAAACCTGTTCCAAGCAGAAGGCTACGTGCGTATGTAAGGTCAGTAACCTTGTTTGACTTTGTGAAGGTCATGGTGATCAACATCATTCAAGACTGTTTTCAGTTTTGCAATTGAATAAGCGATAAAATTGTGTCAGGTAGTATGCTCCTAAAAACAACGTGTTCACCTGGATCGCTTTAGGTCATTGAACTATTCCGACCTTTAAGAAGTTCATTTGAAGATACATAATGCACATCCCGTTGTCAATAAGTTCGAAATGAGCACCAGAAACTACCCCATACAGCAAACCCCAGAATAAAAGAACAGGCTGGCTTTGACCTTAGTCTGACATTCATACCTGACACTAGATCAATGGAGTTTGTTGATTCAATTATTGTGCTGCCTAAGAAAGTAACTCAGAGATGTGTGGCTTTGTCTAACACTCCGTTGTTGCATCAGATTGAACGATTTCCTAGAAATTGCCTTCGCTAAAGCCATGGGCTGACTTTGACCTGCTGTAGGTCAGAGACCTTATAAGGTGCGTTTGAACTTTTAATACCGAACGATCTGCGGTTCGATTGTCTATAGTGTTAAACGTAATGTTCCAAAAATGTGTTAATTTTGCTGCTTCGATTGTTGTGTTAAGCGTAATGTTCCAAAAATGTAACGTCCGTTCGGCTCCTGATTGAACTGGAGACGCTAAACAAAAACAGGTGTGCTGCGCTTCCTTGCTGGCGGTATGAGTCCGAGTTGAAAAATAATCAGATTTGCAACCACACCCGAGCGCAACTTTCCGCTCCCCAGCACCCCTCCCCTTTCCCTCTCTCTTGTTAGGCCTTAGCAGTACACTTCATCGCCTCTCCCCTCCTCTTCTGCATTCATAGCATAATATAGGTATGGAGTCCAGACTATGAATTTGAACAGTCTTTTCTGGCCTAGGTATTTTCAGGTTTAGGTTTGTCATATTTGCATTTTTCAGTCCCCCCTCAACTTACTTTTCTACGCTGCATGCCTACTTGGACAAACCAGAGTGATATTGCGGCCTCTCGTACCCTCGGCATAGCCCGTCCGCTGCGCTGATTGGGCAGCTCTCGCCAGCCGGGCAGAGCGGCGGCTGGTGTCGTTACCATTATTTTTCCTCTGCCCGCCAGATGTCTCCAGAGGCGGCACGGGCGGCGGTCGACGCCGTGTTCGGCCTGTTCGCGAGCGGTGGCAGCGCTGACTACATTGGCGAACCGGTCTCCCAGGAGCAGCACGCGCTTCAGGCGGCCGAAGCGGCCCGGTGCTGTGGTGCCTCCGACGAGGTGCGTCGCCCCCGAAGTTGGAGTGGTCATAACGACAAAATAACAGGCCTCGTTACGTGCACTCTGTGTGGCGGAAGGCCAGGCGGAGAGAGGGCAAGAACGGACATTAAAAGCCCGCGTGAGGCTTTGGTCGATGACCCTTAGCATCATGGCGCTGGTCGATGCCGCTTACGAAGTCTCCGCGACCGATGGTAAATCTGACAAACCGGAGGCCAATCCCATGCTAGCCAAACCCAACCAAACCCAATCGAATCTAATTACTGGCGCACTAGACCCAGCCTCTTCCCATATAAATGGCTACATTCATGCATCAATAAAAAACTCTTGGATTGTTCAACGCGGCCGCTGTCTGTACAAAAGGAATCGAGTCAAGTTCATCCAGCGCCAACCAGCCGCCTGACGTGTCGCTTTCTGTGTTCAGGTGGTGCTGGCGGCGCTTCTGCACGATATCGGCCATCTGTTTGGCCAATCCGAGGGCGCCGAGCGGATGATCACCGGTGATGTCATTCTCGGCGTGGCCAATCATGAGAGGGTCGGCGCCCAGTTTCTTCGTGCGCAGGGTTTTCCGGAGCGAGTGGCATGCCTGGTGGAAAACCACGTGCAGGCCAAACGCTATCTCACTTTTAAAAACAAGGCTTATTATGACAGTAAGTTTCTTCGGAGCCCCTCCCCATCCCCCCCCCCCCCACACACAGAAGTCCCCTGGTAGGACAACCGTTTTATGGCGTATCTTTCAAACTAGCCAATAAGGCTAACGTGTTAAAGGTCTTTTCAGAGAGCTGTGAGCTGAATCTATATCTATATCATACCAATCATACCGAATCTATGTCATACCAATTTTGATGAACCCTGCACCCAAAAAGACGGTTTTATTGCTTTGCCCCCATCCACTGGCTGGTTCATTTACCTAGAAAAGGCCATCTCTCGTGGCGTACTTGGTTCAAAGTTTTCATGTACCAACGCCGTGAAGTTCTACACTATCTTGGCATGCTTAATGTTCTCAGTACACTACTTCTAGTACTATCTGCAGCGTACTTCTAGTTATATGATGCAATTTATATAACGAATTTTATCCTATCCGACATATATTACCCTGAATTCCAATTGCTTTGGCCGCCTCCGTCAGAATGACGGAGTTATACTTTCACCTTGAAATGATGTGCGCGAATCTGTGATGTGCGGAGAATTTCACCTCGAAATGATGTACGCGTTGGGTACCGAGAGAGAACGAGGGTTTCGTCAGCAGGTTAACCCAGAGTGAGTAGGAGCGAAGACCCTAGACAAAGGTCCTGAGCTGGTAGATGGCCAGTTACCATCATCAGTCATCAGTCCTTACCAGCCGTCTTGGGGCCAGGCAAGGCGTCCGTAAGGACTCACCACTGGTCCCAAACCAGTGTCCGCTGAAAAGCTGAATGGCTAGAGCAGGTCAGGGTCAGCACGAAAGGTCGCGGGGTGGCTACAGCCCATCGAAGAACTTGGAACGCCCAAACGGGCCGGGGCAGACATATCCATGTAGGCATGGATCTACATGTACCCACGCAGCATATAGCTAATAGACTGTGACCATGCTGCAACTGTGAGACTTGAATCCTACTGCACCAAAGCGAATGTTTACGGTAGGAAAAGATCGTTTCCAGTCCCACTCACGTTGACAAACGGAGACATTTTTAGCTTGCGCTTGCTCCGTCCGCTCAAAACGCAGGAACGCTATGGTCACAGAATCAATCACCCGGACCTGACAGAATATCATTAGATGCTCTTCGCCTCTATTACAGACCATTTTGAAGACAAGCTTTACTGCACTATGGCAGCGCAAAGGGCGAACAATTGCAAAACAGATATCGTGGGGATCGGGAGGAGATGCCGCACTGGCCTATGTATCTAGCTTGAAGGCGATTTGTCGGTGGTCCAGAAACCACCGAAAAAGGGGACGCTGAAAGGGTTTTTTGAAATCGCTTGAAGCTGGCAGCAGTCCTTGCCAATACGGTGCCGGTCGGCCGCAAAGTGCAGTCAGTGAGGCGCAGGCTGGCTCAACAGTGCAGTCCAGTACAGGTGCCGGCCGGCAGCAAAGTGCAGTCAGTACGGCGCCGGCTGGCTGAACAGTGCAGTCAGTACGACACCGACTGGCTGAACAGTGCAGTCAGTACAGCGCCGGCTGGCTGTACAGTGCAGTCAGTACGACGCCTGCTGGCTGAACAGCGCAGTCAGTACGGCGCAGGCTGGCTGAACAGTGCAATCAGTACGGCGCCGGCTGGCTGCGCACTGCAGTCAGTACGGCGCCGGCTGGCTGCGCACTGCAGTCAGTACGGCGCCGGTCGGCTGAACAGTGCAGTCAGTACGGCGCCGGCTGGCTGAACAGTGCAGTCAGTACGGCGCCGGCTGGCTGAACAGTGCAGTCAGTACGGCGCCGGCCAGCTGCAGAGTGCAGGCCCGCGACGGTTCGGTCCAGGGTAGCCCTCCATTTCACATATCTGATATCGCCCTCTCTGGCTTTCTGAAGTAGTCAACAGAGAAGTAGCCCAAAACGGTGCAGCGCTTGATTCCAAGTCTGTCTGAACTTTTCCGTACGATCCGGCGAACTCCGCGAGGCGAATGTGTCAGTGGGCCACCGGCAGAGAGAGTTCGCAGAAGTGGGCACATCGGTTCTCAAGCTCTTTGACGTGCACGACTTTCAGTGCATCCACTTAATGATGTTTTAACAGAACACATGTCATGTACATGACCTGCCTCCTCTTCTTTCTCCTAAGCAAAAGTACTGTTGGAAGAACTGTCCCCTCCTTTTTCCTCCAAGCACTAGTGCTGTCGGTGGAACCGCCTCCTCCGCCTTCCTCGCCAAGTGACTTAAGTCACCGATGCGCTCTATAACATCAAATCCTCTTTCCTCTAAGCACACGTGCTGTTGGCAGAACTGCCTCCTCCTCTTTTCTTTCAGCGCAAGTGCTGTTGGCAGAACAGCCTTATCCTCATTCCTTTGATCGCAAATGGTGTTGTCTATGTGCTTGGTCAATTATGTTGGTTAGGTGCAAGAGGTCTTGGGATGGGGCTGGCGGTTGGAGGAAGAGTTGGTCAGGTCAGGCGTATCAGGCCAAACCAGTTCGATGGTCAGGAGGAGTTGCGAGAGTGGGCAGAGTACGAGAGTGCGAGGAGTGCGACTGCTGAGGCGATTTAGTCAGCACTTTATGCATGCTTCTTTGTGTCATATGTGATTAACGTGTGCCATTTTTTGTCAAACATTATCATTGGTTCCGGGCCAAATGATAAGCAGCAGCTGCTCCTTTCGCCCAACCCAGTTGTGTTCAATATCGACCGGCTTCATCTGGACAAACGTTGATAGATGGATGGTTTGCCGAGGGTGCCTTGCGCCTTTGAGTGTGACTGAGTGTACCTTGCGCCTTTCTTGTGACTTTTGCGCGTTGCGCCTTTGAGTGTGACTGACTGTTGGCAGAAGGGCCTTTTGTCTTTGCCTTTGAGTGTGACGACCGTAAGTACTTGGTAAAACTGCCTCCGCCTGCCGTCTCTGAGCGTGGTTGCTGCTGCCACACCCAGGGCTGCCTCCTCCCTCGGTCCCGAGGCGTGCCTGTTTGCAGAGAGTGATCTTCCCTTGACTCTGCGGATAACTGCCGTCCGTACAGCTGCCGTCCTTACCTTATCTGTCAGCGTGCCGACTGTGTGTAGTCACGGATGCCTCTTCGACTGTCTGTTGTCGACTGTCTCTTCGGCTGTCTCTTCGGCTGTCTCTTTGGCTGTCTCTTCGGCAGCCTCTTCCACAGTTGCAGCCAAAGGGGTGCCCCATCTTAGACCCGCATTTCTCTTCTTTTGCTAGAGTTGTCTCCTGATAAAAAACAAAAACCACCGTCATGCGTATTCACAGAATTCCGCCCCCTCCCCTGAACAAGGCCCTGGCGTCGCCTCTGCACGCCGACCTCTCACGACGTCTGCTCTCGGCAGAGCTGTCGTCAGCCAGCAGGGGCACGCTGGCTCACCAGGGAGGCCCGATGACCGCCGAGGAGGCCCTTCTCTTCGAGGACTCACCGGACTTCCAGACCATACTGCGCATGCGGACTTGGGACGAGGCGGCCAAACGTCCCGACGCGCAAACAACGCCGCTGGGCTTTTACAAAGACCTGTGCCTCAGCGTTCTCCTCCGAAACTGAGCTGGTGCACAGGGGGCGCCGGAGACGTTCTGTGTGAACTAGTGAGAGCCGCAGCTGTTAGCGCACACGAAGCCGGATAATCGCGGCTGTCAGCTCTGACTAGTGGAACCCGGAGGCAGAGTAGTGAGGAATGATCGCCGTATGCTCTGACTTCGGTGCAAACAGAGGAACGAGGTCAGCCGCGAGCTCTGCTCGGTGCTCAAGCTCTGCTCAGTGTTCAAGCTGTGCTCGGCGTTCAAGCCGTGCTCCCACAGAGAAATCTCGCTGGATCACTACCGGTAGCAACATGTCTTGTCTCAAGAACGAGAAACAACCAAACGAACAAGGGGAATCTCCCGCGTGAACTTTTGGTTTCGAGAGACACACATCTGTCTCATATACGACCTTGCGTGTGTCGCTGAGACACTCAACACCACGATCAAAATTTGCCTGATCCCAAATTGTCGACACTCAAGTTCACGGTGGTGGTGTCTGCTAAGCTCATCCCGCGTGACATTCACCACTGCACTTCTCGTATGACGTTCACCACTGCACTTCTCTTGTGACATTCACCAGTGCACCTCTCGTGTGACACATGTGTGTAAAATAGACATTGTGAATAAACTTGCGCAGAGCCAACTGTTGTCGCTAGCTGGTAGTCTGCAGGGTGATGTCTGACCATCGACTGTAATCTGCGGGGTGATGTCTGACCATCGGCTGCAGTCTGCAGGGTGATGTCTGACCATCGGCTGAAGCCCGCCGGGTGATGTCTGACCATCGGCTGCAGTCTGCAGGGTGATGTCTGACCACCGGCTGGCTAGTTCGTCATCGACATGGAGGCTTTACGGTGTACTCAGCTGCGGAGGCTTTCTGGCGTCGCCTGCCTCCCATCCTGGCAGGAAGGGCGTGTAACAAGCAGAAACGAGCCCCGTGTCTGTGGCATCGTCGACGCATTTTCAACGGACTGCGCTGCTGCTATTCGGCTGGATAGTTAAGGTGGTGGCCGCGCGTGGCGCTAGGAGCGCGCGGACAGATGGCACCCTCAGCGTCGCTAGGCGCCTTGCTTCGCCCAATTTAACCGCTGCTGCTGGGTGGTCTTGATCATCGTAGCCCATGACCCCCTCCAAAAGTGTTACCAATTTGTCTACCTGTCTACCCATCCCAGCGTTGTAGTCATCAAATATCGCTGTCCAGGGTATACAGAAAGCTAAAATTTCTGCAAAGCATTTGCTCAAGTTTTGACCGGCCATTTGTAGGATGAAACACGCACCCGTTCGCATTGCCTTAGATTTCAAGTGAAAAATCGCAGTGCTGCGCGGCTCTGCTTGCGACCATCTTTAGGCCAACAGCCCCGTGAAAGCCGCGGCACCCTATTTTGTGTTGTTAAATGCGATGAAACAGCTGCTGCGTTATAGACATGGTGCCGCTCTTATCAACAACCACATGCGTCTTGACCGCATGCATATCATCAATAACCAGGGTCGTCGAAGACTTTGCTGGATTCCAGGCAGGGCCACCTTTGGAACAGAAATCGCTCCAAGCTTGGTGGCGGAGAGAGAAAATCGATTATCGTACAGACGGGTCGAAGTCCTCGCTAGCGTTTGCTGACTCTGTCACTGAGCAAGACAGCTATCACTTGAATGGCGCGTATATACAAATGCATTGCCATCAAGAGAGGGTGTATTTGCGGCACGAAATATCCCTGCGATGACGGCTGATCCTGAGGTTTCATAGACACGGCGTTGCGGTGTCACTGCGAGACAGAGGCAATGGCTACCCCATGGAGAGGGGCGCAGGTGTTCGCCAAAGCTCAAAGTGCAGTTTTCAACACAAAGTGGACTTGTCTTTAAGTGCACACACGGACTTTTAAGTGGCGCTTGAACAGGGTTGTACGTTTCATATCATCATTGGATGATAGCTCATGCTGATCAGTATTGGTACGGTTCAGTACAGTTACCCCTCCGTTACTCATTCAATGCTCAGTCTGTCCAGTCCGGGCTCGAGGCTGGGGTACGCGGTCTACATTTCGAGTGTTGGAGGAGCCATGACGCTCTTCGCCACAGTTAGTGGTTTAATCAGTGGATACGCTCACGTTTCACTTTTCCAGACTCATGATATCACTTCACTGAACCATCATCACAATTCGCTTAATAAGTCTCATTTACATAGACCTTTTCAGATGATAGGCATCAAATGGCTCACAAAACTCTATGAACCTATACAACTATATGGCTCACAATAACCTCTCAGTAAACGCTCTTCTTTTACTAAATATCACTTCATTTAACTGCGTCACCCGGAAAAAATCCGAGGGGATCGACTCCAGAATACAAAACTGACCTCATACGAACGACGCCGGTATGATCTCAAACTAGTTCAGAAGCAACAGCGCCGGAGGAATGACTAACAATGTCAGAGGATGTCACCCGGCTTCTGAATCTAACACATATCTCTGCGATTCGCGCCGGTAGGCGGCCCTCCAAAACACTTGTCCGTTGGCTAGTCGTCTTCCTCATCCGCAGGCGACGCGACCGACTCCTTCGAGTTGTGCAAGACGCAGCTGTAGCCCAGTTTGGTGCACTTCTCGCACAGCTCGGCCGGGTGCTTCTTGTCCTGGTCTATCTTGTCTAGCCCGCCAGGTTTGTGCAAGGGTGTCTGCAGCATCAGTAAGGCATGTCACCCAATGCAACGGTACGTTCATAAGGTGAAAGCGACACTCAAACGAATAGTGATCGGGAAAGGGCGACTTTTGGATGAGATTGACGGGCACATAAGAGAGTGACTTTTGGCCGAGATCGACAGGCACATGAGAGAGTGACTTTTGGCTGAGATCGACAGGCACATGAGAGAGTGACTTTTGGCTGAGATTGACAGGCACATGAGAGAGTGACTTTTGGCTGAGATCGACAGGCACATGAGAGAGTGACTTTTGGCTGAGATCGACAGGCACATGAGAGGGTGACTTTTGGGTGAGATCGACAGGCACATGAGAGAGTGACTTTTGGCCGAGATCGACAGGCACATGAGAGAGTGACTTTTGGGTGAGATCGATGGGCACATGAGCGGGTGACTTTTGGCTGAGATTGGCTGAGGCTGAGGTCACAAGAGGCTTGGCTGAGGTCACAGGAGTCAGCCTTCACAAAACAGCCTCGGCGAGGTCACGGTCGTCAGCTGTCACAGAACAGCTGCTGGCACGCTGGCCGACATCAAGGGTACTTCCGGCGTCCACAATCAGCTGAGCAATCAGCTGAGCTAAGCCCCCAAATGTGGGATGTTGCATGCACTCGTCCGCGCCTTTTTAACATTGTACTGTCTCCGCAAGGCTGCAAGAGGAAAAACCGGGGTTTAATGGAATCAACGCGCTGGTGGAAACTGCATTATAACGTGGCGCTTTGATGGTGGGACGTGTGCACCGCGCGGTGACGCGTGGTCGGCGGCGTAGTTTCCTTTTCAGTTGGGGCTTCAGCCCCCCCCCCCCCCCCCCACTTTGGGAAGAGAGTGAGCAGAGAAGAGGAAAAGCCCGTTTGTCGGCATATCTTAGGGGCAGATTGGGTTATTTTTCACTGTTCAGCCCCCCTCCCCCAACTCCTTTTGCGAAACTTCATCCCTGCGCTCGGTGCATAATTACGTGTCAAATCAAAGCCATTACATCACTACGCTTTGTTAGTTTGAAGACGCGACGTGCGACAACTTGTTAGACACGACGTGCGAAATGACTGGCTTCTCCAGGACTGCGAAAGATGGCTGTGTCTGCGTATACTGAGCCATACATACCACTCATCACATGTGGACGGCAGCAATGCCATCATCCACTTCCTCGAGCCATTCGTAACCAAATGGTTGGAAATTATGTGTAACAAACTGTAATTTTCCATCGCAGCTGTCAGGAATCGCCGATTTGAGCCAATATTGACACGGCATGGTGCATTTTAGGATATTTGGTGCAGAGGCATAATATACGATCGACCAAAAGTCAAAGTCAGTGTTATCTAACTTGAGTCTGCATCTCGTTCGTGTTCTTTTGTCTTCGTCTCCGCAACAGAAGCTGTTGTTTCTTTTGTCAGAGCCGTTTTGTGACGGCGGTCGGACCCGGGGTTGGAGCGTCGGGTCGCAGATCACGCGATGACATCATAACGACCTCGTGCAAGTACCACGCGGTGTCAGAGAGCGCCCGAGGGCACCATCTCGGCGTCCCGGGGCACGGCGCTGACGGCGGCCAGGCGGCGGCATGGCAGCGCGGCCCGGCTCCGCCCAGGGAACACCCGGCGCCCCGGGGCACGGCGCTGACGGCGGCCAGGCGGGGGCATGGCAGCGCGGCCCGGCTCCGCCCAGGGAACACCCGGCGCCGACCCCGACAGCGCTTTCTCTTTCAGGGCTGGAGAGACGACCCCAGGTCGGGGTGCGACCGTAGACGGGCGCTGCCGTCCAGACACGCGGGTATTAGGCGGCCTTAAACGGATGAGAGAGGTTGGCGAACGCATGGAGAGATGGATTTTACCTCACGTCAAGCACACACTTACTTAAACCCGACATGCGCTCCTGTTCTGTCAAACGAACGGGCGAAGCCCTAGTCGAATGAAGTTTTTATCATCTTAGCTTGAAAATTTAACACGCTCTGTGTCTTAGAAAATTACAGGGCGTAACAGCACAGTGGACACCAAAAACAGCGTCACATAGCTCGCATTTAGCTACATCAAATGAGTGGAATGTTAACAATTGAGAGCGGTCTCTATAGAACCAAACCCGATCCTTCTGTTAAGATGGTAAACTTAGCCGGCCTGGCTGCCCTCAGAAATACGCGTGCTATAGCGGCAAAGGTAGCAATGTGATATATGTCATTGCACGTTAAGGCGTACGGCTGGCGCCACGTCACGCCAGGTCATCATCAGGTCAGAATTTGCGTGCGTAAGCTTCTCATCGTCACTTCAGGGAACAGGCGACGCACGACATCGAAACAAACGCATGAAGCTTGCTAACACGCGCCCAAGTGGCCGGTTGAATGTTGTTCGCTCGCGTAGGGTGGGGGTCAATTTGACTCCCCTGATATCTAAGAAACTAAGATAGGCATCAAATCTACGAATTGGGTTGGTCGATATGAAACCTCAATCATATCACACTTAAAGGTTCCTAGGTCATGACCTTGTGGTCAAATCAAGTGAAACAAGGCAAAACTCCAGAATGGTATCCAAAGTGCCCCTAGACCTCCTCACGCAAGCACTGTGAACTGAAATACCTCTGCTAAGCAGAAGCTCAGTGGTGTTCATCTAACGTCAGCGATCTTGCTTGACCTTCAGAAGGTCAAGACGATAGAAACTACGAGATTGCCGCTATTTTGCTATCAAAATAAGCGTCACGAATGGACATGCTAGTTCAGCTCGCACGTGCGACGAAGGTACTGGGCCACACTGGCTCTCGGAGCTGGTGCGCCCAGGTGCGCGTGGAGCTCGTGGACGAGAAGAGCCGCACCATCATCCAGAGCGCCAAGGCCCGGTGCGCGAGGGAGACGTCATCATGCTACTCGCATCCGAGAAAGAGGCTAGGAGGTTCGGATAAGGGACTTCATGATGACTGGATTTGATTCTGTATCAGGTTCTCCTGAAATAGTGAGGTACATGCAAACTGTGCCCGTAAACAAACGTCAGGGATTACGCCAGGTGGTATGTTCCTAAAAACGTTATGTTGGAAAAACCATTTTAGATCAGTGATATCATCTGACATTTAAAAGGCCCATGGAAGATGTTTGTTGAAGTCCGTGTGGATAAAAACTAGCCCATAAAGCAGGATCTAGAGTAAAAAGCGGGTTAGTTTTGACCTAGGATTGGCCTTTATACCTGACCCTAGACCAGTGGAATTTGTTGTAATTTTGCATTCAGTTGGTGTATTGCCTGAGGAACTATTTCAAGCGTGGATGGTTTCGTCTTACTCTCCGCTGCCGCATCAAATTGAACGATTCCCTAGAAAAGGCCTTCGCTGACAGTAACGGCCTGACTTTGACCTCCGTAGCCTAGCCACCTTAAGAGGTACCCTTATTTGTTACACCAAAAGATCCGCTATTCAACTGCCTACAGCCATGCAAAGTTTGGCGCAGCTACGCCGCGCCTTTCGGAATTAATTCTGGAAAAAGTTTTTGGGGGTCAAATTCCCCCCCCCCCCCACCCGAGCTCGTATTAAACTTGAAATACCAACTCATGGGACTTGCGGCACGCCAAAGTCAAGAAAATCAGAGTTTATTCCCGCAAGGGTTTTCAAATTTGAGGTATTTATCAAACTTTTTCTCGGATTATCTGACACAACTATTTCGTGAAGTGAGCCATCACTTCGTACGGTATGGTGCAGCTATCTGGAACAGGCGAATCCTTGAGAGCGTGCATTCTTCTAGAGTACATTACACGCTTCGAGAACAAAAATGCAGCCAACATGACATTGACAACAAGGTTATCACCCGGGACCTACTAAAAGCAGGGTTAGAAATTGCCACAGAATGTGTGCGAGCGTTGAAACACCGTTTACCTTTTGAAATTTGCCTATCCATCTCCCTGGAATATCGAAATCTATTAAGCTGAATGCCACGGGATAGCTCTGACACGGAAGCCTGCTGTCTGAGCAAAGTATTGGTCGCAGCATAAAACGGCAGGGCATAAACAGACCATGGCATAAAACTCACTGTGCATCGCTGAGATACGCCCGTGGCAGCCCTATGTCTTTAATACGTACGGTAAATATGTATGCTTATGATGTCTGGTGATGCTAGATATAATATTGGTCAGACGTTAGCTTTCGCCAGTGCACGCAACGGAAACGCACGCGCGATCTGTACTCGCATACGTCTCACAAATGAAGCCTTGTGTTAGTACTGACAATGGAAGTATGGTATGAACTGCACACCACGCAGTCTGCATACAGTCTGCACGTGCCATAAAGCATCGGGCTTGTTGAGTGCGTTTGCAAGGAACGTTATTTACTAAGATAAGAAAGTAATAATAGTATTATTTCTCAGAGAAAAACCAACATATTTTTGTTGGCCTTTATCGCCGCACGACCAATAGAATGGCGGGATTTGAGTGACGTGGTGGCGTCATATATGTCTGGGTGACCTCGAAATAGTCTTCACGAAATAGTCTCCACAAAATCTTCGCGGGCATGTTGCTCAGGAATCAGTGAGCTAGAATCGCTTTTGGACTAGGGTGGGAGTGAAGCATTTCATCGCAAAAAGACCATGCAGGAGTTAAAAAATCAATTCACAAAAGATGAAACATGTGAGCTAGTGACTGCTGCTTCAGCAAACAAAGACATCTATTTCGAGTTGGCATGGACGGCATAAACCTGACAAAACTGTTTTGTTTTTTAACATCTTAGGCCATTTAAGCGAAACAGAATACATTAAAGCGTAGCAATTGCATGACAACGTAATGAGCATACAAATTATCAACACCAATAATCTGATGCTGCAGTTTGCACTTCCCTTCCACAGCACTTTTAACGCAAAAGAAAGCAAAGGAATTAAACAACAAAATAACAACAGAAAATTCAACAAGCACAAAACACTCAAACAGAAAAAACCTTGGACTTCTACACGTCAGCCCATCGTCAAGTCAAACACAATAGACTTACCTCTGGCTTCTGTTAAGATGAGATCAGGGAGAACCAACATTTTGTCACTATTTCTTACAAAATACCGATACTTATTTCCATGAAAGTAGCCTAACTATGCCTGACCTAAAGAGCCTTACGTCATCTCATGCTGTCTAACCTGTTTGTATCACGGCAGCACTTGCGAGTTACTGATTCATGCACAATTCTTATTGCCACTTGCCATGCAGTTAACCAACATAACCTAATTTAGAGTAGCCTATATGTTGAACATCATCCCAACTCACCTAACTTTTGACAGCAGCACTTGTGATAAAAACATGATACAGCTAATTTTTGACTGGTTTCAACTTGCATTTTTATTCAGTTCATTTGTGTATGGTTGTTGACATCAGACAAAGTTGACAGCACACAAATCAAAACACTTTAAATGACTTTGAACAACTTATTTTGATTGTCATGGTTAACTTTGTCAAGGGCAATAACGGGAATGCTCCACAAAACAATCTCTCTTCTCCAAAAGTAACATAACCATTAGATGACCATGCCAGTTTTGCTGCTTGCCTTTTCAGCTGCAATAAAGGCATCTATTTAGACCTGTCTATTCATATTTAATGACAAAGCTTGAGATGTTGGCTTCACATTTTAAATGGAATGGTCTGACTATTCGTTACATACTGATATTTACCTCATATTATAATTGCTATGCAGCTTAGAGCATCCCTGTGTTACAAATATAGTGTATATATACAGTACAGTCATTTGACCGTCAGCAAACTATGACAACTATAGAAAACATCTGGTTAAAGCAGCCATGAGAGACCACTTCATGAAATTTGGGGCAAGTAATCAAGAATTTGGAACAAAATAGGCCAATTGCATGCCTTGTGGCATCATAATTTGTCCTATGATCAAACTCGATGGATTAAAACAGAAAATGGCTAACTCTGGTTATCAATCATGTGTTGAAAGCACGTAAGGTAAGCAATTACTTTGTCCACAGGAGAATTACTGGCATCTTCTTGCTCCCTCAAAACAAAAAGTCAGTACCTCTCGCATGGTCTGATGGCAGACAGAATCATCCCACTCATCCCCAAATATAAATATCAATCATACCCACCAACCTACGAGATTAAAATGCGAAACAAGTAAGAGGTATGCATGATAAACATCTCCAAAGGACATAATTTCGCCATCAAACACTTCTCTATTAGCTGCGTCAGGTCTATCCCAAGGCTCTATATGGCAGCATTAGGATAACCTTGTCAGGTAGCCTGGTGAGTTAGACAGTCAAAAGGCTTAGATTTATCATCATCTAGCACCGCCATGAACCAAAGAACGACTAACCGAAGGCTTTTCAGGGCAAAAATGGCGATGAATAGATATTCCGTGCTTCAAATTGTCTCCTTCATTCCCTGTGAATTATTCACTCTTGGGTGCATATCAAGCATATCTTTGCGGCAGGCAATTCATCCAATTTATGTATGAAATACGTGCAAGTTTGCAGTTGGAGCACCTTGCAGAGAAATTGGCCAACATTTTAATCAAGAGATGGTACCTCTAAAGGCGATCGAAAAGGAAGGAAGAATAAAGTGGTATCACAATCGTATGATACCAAGAAAAACAAAAGTAGGTACATAAATATAAAGTCTGATACTTTTTGGCAAATTTTGCAATCAGCTGATTTGACTTAGAATCTGTTAACATGAGTGCTCAAATGGTGATATTCATCTTGTAAATTTGATTTAGAAGACATTTCCTGAACTTTTCACTCCTGCATTTTGTGAGTGATATAATTTAGGTGTCAAGTTTTCTCGCGAAAAAAAAAATACGTGGAGTAAAATTATCTACCAGGCCAGGCCTTGCTGGTGTTCGCACCAGGCCCTGCTTTCGTGGTGTGGTGGTGAGACCAAACAAATTGGGGATGCGTGAAAACGTTGCACTTGGCATACAGCTGCCGATTGTGATGCATTTTGTAAACAAGTCAAAATTAATGCGTGCAAGCGGCTGAAGTCGCTGGGGTTCTTGAGCTTGGAGGTACCTGGCGCCCTTGCTCGGTGCATACATAGACATGATTCGGATGCAGGTGAGGCAGCACATAGCCATAGGTGTCCAAGTTCTGTGGAGCCTTGTTTATGCTTGGTGGTTTCAGATGAGCTCGGTTTTGGATGCATCTGAAAACCTCAGAAAGGGAAATATGGGTTTGGCATGTGCGTTTAGACAATGTCGGGCAGGAGTGAAAAATTCACATAAAATAGGGAGAAAAGGAGTGAAAAATTCCCCCTTATAGGGTGTTGCTTTACACCCAAAGTCGGCAATCCTATGACACTGACAGAAATAGCAGGGGCTTAGGTCTAAAGATGGCTGGGCTGTAAACTGCAACGAATAATCTTCAAGATGGCTTTTCAGCTCAAAACCCCATGCAAATGTGGAATGCTCCCTTTAAATCATACCGATAGGCATACAAGAACTTAATTTGTCATATCGAAACACTCCCTTTTAAGTTACTTCGTTTGGGAACATGCTCATCTTGGTTATAAGGCAAAACGTCAATGTTTCGACCTCTGCTCTCTATAAGCTCGCTGCATGCGTCAGTGGGTATAACTATAGACCAATGCTAAACTTTGAGTTTTGTCTAAATGGAATGGTCTATTGTAATTAGCTTCCATCTTCGCGATTTTCCAAACAAATAGCTCGCAAAACAGTCCACTTTTGTCGACAATCATGTCCTGTAAATTGGTAGCTTTTTAACCCCTAGAAATATGGCCAAAAGCTCAGCCGTACATTGATTTAGCGGGATCGGTGTCCGTTAAACGAAAACAATGGGTCGAGTCGACGCTCGCATTACAAAAGTTCAGACCCCGATATCCCACCTCCTCCTTACTTTGAAGGAGTCTTAGCACCGCCGTGCATGACCGGTCAGCTGGCCGGTCCTAACAACTGGCATGACCGGTCAGCTGGCCGGTCCTAACAACTGGCATGACCAGTCAGATGGCCCGGTCCTAACAACTGACATGACCGGTCAGCTGGCCCGATCCTAACAACTGGCATGACCGGTCAGATGGCCGGTCCTAACAACTGACATGACCGGTCAGCTGGCCGGTCCTAACAACTGGCATGACCGGTCAGCTGGCCGGTCCTAACAACTGACATGACCGGTCAGCTGGCCGGTCCTAACAACTGGCATGACCGGTCAGCTGGCACGGTCCTAACAACTGGCATGACCGGTCAGATGGCCCGGTCCTAACGACTGGCATGACCGGTCAGCTGGCACGGTCCTAACAACTGGCATGACCGGTCAGATGGCCCGGTCCTAACGACTGGCATGACCGGTCAGATGGCTCGGTCGTAACAACTGTCATGACCGGTCAGATGGCCGGTCCAAACAACTGTCATGACCGGTCAGATGGCCGGTGCTAACAACTGGCATGACTGATCAGCTGGCTCGGTCGTAACAATTGGTATGCTCCCGGTTATTGTCTCTGCTCACTGCCTGGCAGCCGGTGTGATGTCACCCTCGTGACCCGTATGTGCCGCTTCGTGTGTTATCACCTGTGTGACCCGTGTGCGCCGCTTCGTGTGATACCACCGGTGTGATCTGTGTGCGTCGCTCCGTGCGATATCACCTGTGTGACCCGCGTGTGGCGGCTCGCGTGACGTCACCTGCCGATGAGGATAGATGCGAATGCGGCAAGATTGACACTCCTGCGCCATGTTGGCCCAGCTGCGACTCGACTGCCAGAGACGGCGACATTCGCAGCACTGGTACTCGCCGAACGCACGCCGCTTGCCTTGGTACGGCGTTTTCACGCCAGTCTTCAGCGCCTGGCGACACAGACCAAACACAAGCGGTGTAGTCGTTATTCATTTGGGGACTTCAGCTCGCCCCCCTCAACAACGTTGGCTTCAGCCCACGCCCCGCTTTGGCTCCAGCCTCCGTTCTCAACTTTGAGAAGAAAGCGAGCCAAATCCAGGGGAACATCCGTCTGTTGGCGTATTGTGGGGGAGGTGATTCATATCTAACTGCTCAGCCCCTTACAACATTATGTAGGACTACCACTACTTTTCTTTTGCGCGACACGCAGATCGCAGGCGATACATGAGCACGTGACCGCGCGGCAGGCGTGGGAACGTCACCAGTATAACAGACAGAGTAACAAAAGCGGAGCAGCGAGCGCCGGCGAAAGACAACGTCGGCCGCACTCACTTGACGTTGTAAAACGGTTGATGAGCAACCCCATCAAAGTTCGCTGCCGGACTGGACGCGTCTGGATGCGTCTGAGACTGGGCCGGACGCATCTGGATGTCTGTGCCACTGGACTGGACGCGTCTGGATGCGTCTGCGACTGGACTAGGCGCATCTGGATGCGTCTAGTCCAGTGTGGATTGATTCTGGACTTGCCTGCCATGGACGAAGCAAACGGGCCGTGACGACTCAGGACGAGTCGCTGGTGACTGACTCGGAATTTCGCCGGATGTGCCACACGTTCGCCTTTGGGTTGATGTCCACATTGCGTCGCATGACACTGGAGTGAAGGAGATGACACTCGTGTGACACCCGGGCTTACTTGTGGACAGAAGTTGATGAAATGTTGTCCTATCTCGTGACACACGCCACATCGATAATGCTTCGGAGGCTTGTCCGGTTTGTCCTGCAGCTGCAGGGAGGCAAATTCCACCATCAGCCCGTCTGAGGATGTTGGAGGTCAGATTAGGAACTTACCAAACGGCAGCGGCGGTCTCAACCAGCCAACTTGCGAGTGTGACGGCACTTCGCCCATCGAATATGGCCGCGGATCGAGCACTGCACGAGCGGCTCATCAACTCACACTTCGGTTAGGTGAGCAAAAATTTAGACGCAGAGCCGTCCTCCGATGGGTATTCTCTCGGCGTAGTGAGTCCCCACATAGTAGTGAGTCCTCACATAGTAGTGAGTCCCCACATAGGATAGATGTGCAAAATAGCGTAACGGGTGCCATCATTTGTTCTTTAACGAAGAACTAGAAAACGCAAAAGGCAGGGGAGAAAATGACCAATGGCAAAGGGTCGAACCCTGTGCAAAAATGGCAAGACGTCAAACGGCAAGAAGCCAGACGGGATAAATGTCGAATGGCAAGAACTCAAAAATGCAAGAAGTCAAATGGATAAAAGTCAAACGGAAAAAAGTCCAAGAAATAAAATTCAAAAGCAAGACGCCAAACAGGAACAAGCTCAGTGATAAAATGTAGATGGGTAAAAGCAGAAAAGGCAAAAAGATGGAGTTTTGTCTAAATATACAAAACATCTTTTAGGCAGACGGTAAAAAGGATGTGAGCAAAATGGTTTAAAGGATAGCAAGGTGTGAATCAAAACACACCTATCCTGGCCAGACACCCTAGTCCGTAGCTTCGTACCGCTTAGGAATGCACTAAGGGCTCTTGGTCAGTTGTTCGTCCAGGGGGTGCAGGCCCCGCCCCCACTTGGCCAGTGGGACCAAGTTGACTGACAGCTTGGTGAATGTGCGGAGGGCGCAGAGGGGTCCCAGATTGGGATTCGAATGGCTCTATGCACGATATAAAGTGTCTTGACGCGCAACGTTTTCGTTATGTGGTGCTTCATAACTTACTTGCTTAGACCCCTTCAAATTCAGAACATCCTTGCCACAAAAATTGCTTTGCTTTCGGCCAACATGTAGCATCAGTTATGGGGGCATCCTTGCAGATTGGGGGGAGAGGTTTTTAAGTTTTTCCTTTGTTAAGTTGGAAGAAGGCAAATAAACCTTCGACAGCAAACTACCTCTACTTCTCAAAACTGTATCTAGCGCACTTCCTTACTTAGGAGAAACTGGCTACCGCCTTTGGCCCAGTGGTTTTGTGATCTAGGAAGGGCAAGAAAATACCATATGAAAGGTTTACTGAGGGCGGTGAAAGCACATCACGATGATAATTTCACACCAATCATATGCGCTCTCATTTTCAAGCGTTACCTTAGTGGGCAGGCGTATTCTAGAGCAGACGGTCAAGCCGTGAAAATCAGCAGAAGTTCTTTTCAGTATGGTCTGGTCTGTTATCTACTGTTTGACAGCCAGACATTGATGACCATGGATAAATATTGATTTGAAAACCGGAGCACCGCTTGAAGCATCCAGTGGTATCCAAACAACCAGTGCTTGCACGTTGTTGAGCGCATTTGCGAGGAACATTATTCACATAGAGCAGACAGTAGTAATGGCCTTATTGGAATTCACCTCTACTATTCGTTTTGATAAAGGCATGTTGCCGATATATCGGTGCATCCATATTTCCATTCCTCTGGTTCTTCTCCGAGAGATAAGGGTGATGCATAATGAGATAAGGATAAGGATGATAGGATACTAACTTACCAACCAATATTTGCACTACAGCGTCGTTTAGCAAGTGCCTTTTTGTATATTGCAGGCTTATAACTGAGCAAGGGATTTCTTAACTCATAAATGAACCCTGTAAATATACCCGAACGCCCCCCCCCCCCCCCCCTACTGTTGCTGACAAGGAGCCGACAGGCAAGGGAGACTACGCTCGACCGACTTATGCATGATCCTGGTACCTGCCTAAGTTGGAAACATCAGGGCTCTTGGCATCACGTTACGCATGACGTTATGAAATTCAACAAACATGAAGAATTGTTTTGCTGACTTTGTCCATTATGCTTGCCTCCGCTGGCCTTAACTTCCTTTCACTCCTTTTTCTTTTGACGCTCATTCCTGCAACCTTTAGCCCCTTTGGCTTAAATGGTAGTAGGAATAGTAGCGTTATTGGAATTCACCTCTGCTATTCGTTTTGGTAAAGGCACGCTTTGCATGTGACTTGGATATATCTTTGACTTTTTCAAATATGATTTTTTTCACGTTTGACGTGCTGTCCTTTCACTTCCAGGCCTTTGACTTTATGTCCGGTTATCGCCATAGCTCACTATGTGCAGGATTTTCCTCGTCGAGTCCAAACTCACCTTCCGCATCTGAGTGCGAGCCACTAGCCATGGCTGTGCAGGAAGCCAGGTGACTCCGAGGGGCGCCAGTGATCGTCTCCTGCAGGGCAACACGACGCACGATGTAAGCCATCTACAACTCCATCCTCCATATATATATATATATATATATATATATATATATATATATATGAATATCGAAGTATATATATATATATAGAGAGAGAGAGAGAGAGAGAGAGAGAGAGAGAGAGAGAGATATATATATATATATATATATATATATTATATATATATATATATATATATATATATATATATATATATCTCTCTCTCTCTCTCTATCTCTCTCTCTCTCTCTCTCTCTCTCTCTCTCTCTCTCTCTCTCTCTCTCTCTCTCTATCTCTCTCTCTCTCTCTCTCTCTCTCTCTCTCTCTCTCTCTCTCTCTCTCTCTCTCTCTCTCTCTCTCTCTCTCTCTCTCTCTCTCTTTATATGTTTGTAGCATATCGTTACAGTGGGTTGTAACATCAAGACATAATTGGCCTTCACTAGCAGTTAATAAGAGCCAGGTTTCCATGCATTAGCATAAAACCAGCTGTGCTTATAAGAGGATGGTTGTCTTATACATTCTAACTTACGGATATCTATATGCACATATACGTGGCACATCCGTATCCATATAAGTATAACATTTAATATAACAAGTCTACGCATTTGCACTATCCGAGCTTCACACCACGAGTGAAGGCGATGATGGATATCTCTCAGCTGAAGTGGAAGGGGATGAAGTAGTCATCGCCGTCAACTCGCCTCACGGCTCAAATAACCAACAATGCAAGATTGCTGGCGCCATTGATGCACGACACCTGTGGTTCATTTATTGATGACGCTGACGCAGCCAATGTTTTAAACGAGCTACACAGGCCACCCTTTTGGCAAATGCCGTGTTTGCAATACTTGCTGGAGCATGTGACATAAGCAGGTGTGACTCTTGGAATAATTCCGAAAACCAAGCTCGCGATTCGTGTTCTAAGTGACCTCGACTAGTTATGGTCTCTGTGGGACGACGCAGAGGCACGATAAAACGAAACACCCGGCCACGTCACGTGGATGTCACGACCGTCCCACAACGTTCCAGCCAGCAATTTGTTTGGGCAAAGGTTGTCATGAGATGTTGGATATGCTTTGGGATACGCACTTTTCAGTGAGTAACCATCATATGCAGTTAGAGGAAAACTCCAGACATAGAAAATATTGAGAAGCGGCTGAAAACAGGCTAGGAAATGGAAATATCAGCCAAAGTTTCTCACTTTCGAAGCCGATCCATGAACATTTTCTAACAAGAAAGTTCAGTACCGGACGGGCTACGACGGATGGAATCTGACCGAAATTGCTGCCTGGGTTAAGTGTCCGAAGTTGCATGCCTGAGCCACGCGATCTTCAGCGAGAAATATAGTTCAACTCAGTTTTTGCCACGCATCTTCATTTGGCGGAATAACAAGACAAGATATAAAAGAAATATTTTTGCACGCTTCTCTCCTCCAACGTTGGTCATGCCCTTACGTGCTTATCTCACACGGCAACCCGGCTCGGGGCTTGTGCCAGTGCTCGGGCTGGGTTTGTGCCTGTGCTTGGGCTGGGTTTGTGCCAGTGGTTGGGCTGGGCTTATGCCTGTGTTCGAGGGGATTTGTGCCTGCGCTCGGGCTGGGTTTATGTCTGTGCTCGGGCGGGGTTTGTTCCTGTGCTTGGGCTGGGTTTGTGCCTGTGCTCGGGCGGGGTTTGTACAGGCTCGAGTGGGATATGTGCCAGTGCTCGGGCGGGGTTTGTACAGGCTCGAGCGGGATATGTGCCTGTGCTCGGGTGGGGTTTATGCCTGTGCTCGGCTGGGGTTTCTGCCTGTGCTCGGGCTGGGTTTCTGCCTGTGCTTGGGCTGGGCTTATGCCTGTGCTCGGACGGAGTTTATGCCAGTGCTCGGGTGGGGTTTATGACAGTGCTTGGGCTGGGTTTGTACCTGTGGTCGGATGGGGTTGGTACCTGTACTCGGGCTGGGTTCATGCCTGTACTCGGGCTGGTTTTGTGCTAGTGCTCGGGCGGGGTTTGTACCTTTGCTCGGGTGAGGTTTATGCCTGTGCTCGGGTGAGGTTTATGCCTGTGCTCGGGCTGGGTTCATGCCTTTGCTCGGGGTGGTTTTGTGCTAGTGCTCGGGCGGGGTTTGTACCTTTGCTCGGGTGGGGTTTATACCAGGCTCGGGCGGGGTGTACGTGCCAGTGCTCGGGTGAGGTTTATGCCTGTGCTCGGGCCGGATGGCGGGATTCCCGCCGGCGCGCGGCTGAAGGCCGCTGCAGGCTCCCGGGGCCGGCGGGGTTGGGGGGGGGGGGGGACGGAAAAGGGGAAGCTGTGACAACTCGGGATGCACTGAGCCGCAGCATGTTGAAACATGACGGGTGGCCGCGCGCTGGGTGGTCTGCAGAGAAGCCGGGTCTTCCGGCGGACGGGAGATAGGCGCGCTGTTGTTGCTGGGTTGCGGTGGGTGCGCTGAGTCCAAACAAGTGGGTGGCTCACCGACCGCTCATGCCGGGCCAGCCAAACGATCCAATACACCATGGTCAGGAGGCTGTGACAGGCGGCGAGCAAGCCGGGGTCGTCACATGAAAGTACCGCATGGCAACATAGCAGGGCACATAGGAGGGCACATAGGAGGGCACATGGTCACTTGGCCTTGTGTTTGTGTTGTGTATTGTACTGACTTCTGGCCAGAAAGGGCGTCAGGCGGAGGCCATGTACAATAAATGATGATAAGAGGGCCAACCCCAGAGAATGGAAAGGTCACAACCCATCGTACACCTCTGCAGAAAGGTCACAACCCACCGTGTACCTCTGCAGAAAGGTCAAAGCCTACCGCACACCTCTGCAGAAGGTCACAACCTACCGCACACCTCTGCAGAAAGGTCGCAACCCACCGTGTACCCGCGCAGAAAGGTCACAACCTACCGCGTACCTCTGCAGAAAGGTCGCAATCCACCGTGTACCTCTGCAGAAAGGTCACAACCCACTCTACACCTCTGCAGAAAGGTCCAACCCACCGTGTACCTCTGTAGAAAGGTCGCAACCCACCGTGTTCCTCTGCAGAAAGGTCGCAACGCGCCGTGTAGTTCTGCAGAAAGGTCGTAACCCACCGTACACCTCTGCAGAAAGGTCACAACCCATTCTACACCTCTGCAGAAAGGTCACAACCCACCGTGTACCTCTGCGGAAAGGTCGCAACCCACCGTGTACCTCTGCAGAAAGGTCGCAACGCGCCGTGTACCTCTGCAGAAAGGTCGCAACGCACCGTGTACCTCTGCAGAAAGGTCGCAACCCACCGTGTACCTCTGCAGAGAGGTCGCAACGCACCGTGTACCTCTGCCGAAAGGTCGCAACCCACCGTGTACCTCTGCAGAAAGGTCGCAACCCACCGTTTACGTCTGCAGAAAGGTCACAGCCCATCGTACGCCTCTGCAGAAAGGTCATCACCACGTACACCTCTGCAGATACTTCTGACGTTATTCAGCGCTAGGTGGTGTCAACAGTGGCGTCAATCTAGTGCAAACTCCCAGGGGAAAGATGCAGTGGCCTTCGGATTAACCCACAGTGGCGTTGTTTCGCGCAGCAATGAGTAAACATCTGGCGAAGTGCCAGAACCCGATGAGGACGGCCTGACGCTAGCCGGAGTATGGGTGAGTAATGGCGGCCGGCTTTGTCGTCGCATGGCACGGAAGCGACAAGGGCGGTCCACGGTCGGGTCTGGGTAAAGCGCCCTCCACGGTCGGGTCTGTGCAAAGGGTCTTGAAAACAATTACCCACGGCACCAGAATTACGCACTCGCACAGCGCGTGCGGGCTCAGTCACCACAAGTCGCAACAGCATCTGGGTCGGGGAGCGTGACGAAAATTACGAGCGAAAGCTCTCTTGTGTTTGTTCCTTGAATATTAGTTCACGTTACCTCCATCATTGCATTAATGGTGAGTGGAAGCATTTGGTAAACGCAAGCTTTGCTTTGACTTTCACCAGCAACTAACTCTGGCCAGAGTAAATCCAATGGTTAAACCCATGGTTAAACATGAAAAGCTTCTTCAGTATCGGCATAATAGTTAAGCACACGCCCCAAATCAACCTATAGAGAAGCGTTCGACAAACAAATTTCGGAAACCAAGTTGAGCCGCAGCATATGACGTGGCTTACTGCACACACGCAACACCACAAATACCCCATCCAAAGCGGACGCTCAAATGACAGCCCCCAAACACGCACCACTCTCCCCAAACACGCACCACTCTCCCCAAAACTAGCGTTACCTGTTACGGGGCGTGTCGGCTGCCGCCAGGCGTCGCCACCTTCGCCCCGTGTTGAGCGCGATTGGGCCGTGCTCACTGCAGCCTGGTCGGGCTCGTCTGCCCTTGGCTTGCCCCGCTCCGAGGCCCGCTCCATGAGCTGTGCAGTTGCGCAGTGGCGCGCCCAGGCATGCGCGGCCTGGCAGCGCCCCGCGCCGGGACCGGACGGGTCCGAGGAGCCTTGATGGGCGGGATTTCGGTCAGGAGGGTGCGGTCCGACCCCCGGCTGGGAAGGCTTCACCGGCCTCGGCTGCCGACAAAGGTTGACACCGATTACGCCATCAGCACCTGCATGTGTGTGCACAGCCGAGCGCGGTTGATTCCGCGCTCCCTGCTCCGGGCAGGGCTGGGTGCCGTGGCCGGTGCCACAGGTCGTGCAGGATGCTCTTCTCGCCCCTGTACTCTTTGTTGAGGTGAGTCACGGCAGATGGTCATCAGCCGGTGACGCCTGACGCCGGCGGCGATAACCAGCCGGCGGCTTTGTCCCCGGGGACCGATAATCGAGTGACGTCACAGGCTGACGGTCTTTGACCCTTTCCGGATAAAGGGTTGATGCCACTTCCCAGTCGGACAAAGGCAGATAAGGGCAGAAGTTTATTTTTCATGGTCTCAGCGACAATTAAGGCCACCAGAAAGATGAACGATAACGGCGTGAAATTTCGCTCAGCTACGATACATACGTTGTGTGTTTTCGTCGACGAAAAATCTTACCCAGGTGATATCGGAACACTAACCTATGACGTCGTACCTGAAAGCTGTTGGAGTAAAGTGACCATTTTTCCTTTTGTATCGAATCCTTAGTTTCCGGAAACCATCCGAGGCGTCTAGGCATATTGAATTTAAAGCCATGTCATCATCGGCAGTGTCCAAAATTTCAAGGCCACTTAAAAGCCGCGCAATTTTTGCAACCTGACGTCTTAACGCGCAATTTTTAGTGCATCTGCACGACCTGACTGCTTATACATTAGGCTGTTTTTGAGATTCCTTGTTATTTTATTTATCATATTTTCATTCTTCTTATATTATCGCTGCAATTGCATGTACGCTGCTTGTCGCTCAGCTGGTAATCCCGACTATGTAAGGACTACCTACGTTACGTGCAAAGCGTGGGCATATTTCATTTGGTACCGTTAGTGCCCTTGAGTTGGTCGTCAGCACGTGGATTGCGCGCGCCGTCCGTCCGGTCGGCCGGTCTACCAGTTGGCAGACCAATCACCCCGCCCTCCGCTCCCCTCTGGAGCAGGGGGGGGGGGCCGCCGGAGGCCAGCATGTCTGCATGCACCCCGCCTTCTTGTTTGCGTCGCTCCAATGAGCCCGAGTTGCCATGACGGAGGCGACAGGGCGAGGAAGCGGCGTTGCGCAAGAATCTACTCCTGTTTATGTCGGCACACTTTGAAGTCAGACTAGCCTGGCCAGCTGTGGAAAAACCGACGTAACCACGGCAACAAGGCGATAAGCTATTTCCTTGCAACAAGCTATTTCCTCTTGTCGGGACCCAGTTGTTTACCTGTTTGAGCACACTTGATCGTCCGGGAGCCCTTCACATTGTGTCTTGGGTACTTCCTACTTAAATGGAGGGCACCACGTGCTTGTCAGGGCCCCCCTCTGTTCGCCTCCTCGGCTACACTGGATTGTTTGGGGATGCTGAACATTGGGTCTTGGTGTCTGAATTTAGTGTCCTACGCTCCTGTCAGAGGCCACCTGATATCTGGGTGCACTGATATTTACATATTTGTACACACACACACACACACACACACACATACCTGGAATGCTCGGGTACACTCCATATTACGGGTTGTAGTCCCCCCCCCCCCCACACACACACATTTGTCAACCTGCTTAGGCACACTGGGCCATTCCAGGGCCCTCCATGCTGTGTCTTGGGTGTTTCTTATTTGAGTGGGAGTGGAAAGCCCCATGTTCTTGGCGGTGCCCCACCTATGAAGCTGCTTGGGCCGGCGTTGGATGCAGAGGGGAGGAAACACGAGGGCACGGGACCATGCCCCTTTGGCCCCGAGAGGACCCAGAGGCTCCGTCGAGGCCCAAAACCTCCCGAACGGACGCAGTTTTTTTTAAAAACACAAAACACAACAAAATTTGACGTCTTTGGGCCCACAAACGAACAAGAACAGGTTAAGGTGCAAGTCAAAAGTCCATGGACAGACAACATAAATTATTCGCTGATTGAGAAAGTGTTGAATGGGAGCCCGACCGGGAGCTCAGCGTGCATCCCGCCCCCCCCCCCCCCCCCCGCTCCCTCTCCCAGAGGATCCTCGCGCATGCTTAGTTCTGCGGTTGGCCCTCCTGGCGCGTGTAGACCTGCCTCACCGTCATCCAGTCTCCTTCACCCCATAGCTCCGAAATGATCAATACTGGTCGAAAGGGCTCTTATCAAGCAAGCAAAAAGCAAGCAAACAAAAGAACACTGCACCTGAAAGGCTTCATACGCCTTTTCTGGGGCGCAATCTGCCAAGATTCACCCAGTTGCTCAGGTTTCTTCACATGGGTATCGGGTTCTTTCCACTTGCTCGAAGGGCCTTGTGCTATTGCTGGGGCTAATATAAGGTAAGGTACCGAACCACGCAATGCTCAGGGACCCTCGGCTTTGAGCTAGGGCTGTTTCCCTTTGATCGCATTTGCGGGAACCCTTCACTCCTACCGGGGGTCTTTCTTTTAACCTGCCTGGGCACTCCTGATCGCTCATTCATTCATTCATTCATTCATTACACTGGTCTTCCGTGATTTTGCTTTGCTCAGAGGGCCGCGTGCTCTGGCCGGGGTCCCATATGTTAGCCAGCCGGGGCACTACCGATCGTTCATGGGCCCACCACGTTGGTCTTGGACTCTTCTCACTTGCTATAAGGAGCCTATACTTGTTGACGGGAGCCTGTTTGTGGCCCCTCGCGGCACCCATGATCGCTCAGGTTCCGTCCCTAGGAGCCTTGGTGCCTTAGCCTTAGAGCAGCGGTCGGATATGCGCCGATGAATTTTGACACAGTTGTTGAAGGTAATTTGTTTTGCCACCCAATATGTATTTGTCATTTTCCTAGACTATTAAATGTGTGACACTTTTTTATCTTGTGCTACCTACGTTTTATTACTTTGTAGTACTGTCGATACTTAAAGATGTCGTTTATCATACAACTTAATGGCCGGAATGCAAATATTTTTTGGAGGGGCCCAAACCTTAGGGGGTCCACAATGTTGCGCGCCCCCGCTGTTGACAAAACCTGGATCCGTTCCTGATTTCACGGGCCCAGTCATTTGAAACTTGAAAGCCTACAGCGAAATTGAAAATCTCCCTTGGGCACAAAATGGCACCTAAAAGGTCATCAACACGCGCCCGGGTGGCAGATCGGATGTCCTTCCCTCGGGTGGGGGTCAGTTTGACTCCACTGAGATCTCAGGAACTAAGAGAGCTAGTGGCAGCAAATTTACAGTGTGTGTTGGCCTGTACCTGAACTATCCAGGTCAAAGTTTTAAGGTCCTAGGTCATGACCTTCAGTTCAAATAATGTCAAACAAGGACAATATTCTGGTCAGTCCCCAAAGTGCCCCCAGAACCTAAACACCTGTTCGGTAAACAAAAGGACCCAGGATCATTTAAGGTCAGTGAAGTTGTTTGACCTTTCAAAGGTCTTAATGACCAAAATCATAAACAACCGCTTTCAGTTTTGCATTCGAATAAACGTTAATGATGACGCTGGGCAGCATGTCCCTTAAAACAAAGTGTTGATCTGGGTCATTTTGGGTCAGTGATCTATTTTGACCTCTGAGAAGTGCATGAAAGATATACAATGCGATTCCTGTTATCAATAAATCCGAAATGGGCACCAGGGACTACCCCACACAACAAACCGTGGAGTTATAAAACATATTGGCTTTGACATTGGCCTGACCTTCAAAGCTGACCTTAGGTCAATGGGATTTGCTCACTCAATTAGTGCGTTGCCTAAGAAAGCATCTCAGAGACGTATGGTCCTGTCTGACACTCCGTTGTTACATCAGATAGAACGATTCCCTACAAATTGACTTCGTCGAATCCATGGCCTGACTTTGACCTCAGTAGGTCAGCGACCTTATAAGGCACATCTAAATTTGCAGTACCAAGCGATCCGCTTTTCAATTGCTTCCAGCTTTGCAAAATTTGGCGCGGCTGCACTGCGTCGTTTGGAGACCATTCTGGAAAAACCTTCGGGTGTCAGTTTGACCCCCGTCCGAGCGCGTGTTAAAAACACCGCGTCGCTCCGCTTCATCATCTCTTTTCTGCTAAGCCCCGGAACCATTTAGATAGATGGAGTTTTGTCTCCAGCCGATCCCAGCTCAGACCCTGTTTTCGTTTCAAAACGGAACTTCATCGTACTGAAGCTGTCGAAGAGACTATTTTTTAAAACAAAAAGTCAGAAAATTTTCCTTGTAATCGACATTCCAGCTTGGTAAAAAGAAAGTAAGATATCATATAATGACGCTAACATGCAAGGCGCTTGAACACAACCGTTTTTAAGTACGCAATGGAAAAGCGCGGAAACCTGTTCTGACTCAGAGCTCTATGATGAGATATGAGTCAAACAGGTCTCCGCGCTGCGGAGAGATTTAAGTACTGCATGCCACGTTACCCGCATTCGAAAACTACTACATTTGGAGGCCAGTTCTCATAAGAAAATTGCGTATTTCATGGAAGCAGACATTGATGCAATTCCTAGCAGGTCAGATGCAACATACGATGCGCATATGACACAAGACGGCCTCCCCACTGTTGCTGTTCATTTCGTATAGCGTTATGAATAGCATGTTAACGGCAGTTCAAGTGACAATGAACGGGGGGTCAGGCATGGATTAGCTCATTGTTGTGACAATTCGCAACGAAAATTACCAGCTCTTGGATTCTTCAGGTAGCAGACAATCTGTCACCGGATTTAGATAGAATAGAGGAGTGTAGAATGTCTCTACCATGTAACATCCTCTGGTTCCTGATTGGAATTTGGTATACTTTAAAGCAGGATCAGCAATATTGTACTTGCCGCTTAGAAATTACGATAGAACATATTGTG